TTCTCTTGCTGCAAACTCCAAAGTGTCTACAGCATTTGTTGCTGCTTTGAATTGACATATCAAAGTTAGATGAATTTGCTGAGACAGTTCTTCTGAAGTGACGTCTGAGAAAAAGGAATTATTATTTTTTTCCAACCTTATTAAGCTCTGCTTCCCCAAATAGCCGCAGTAAACTTCGGTTGTGCTGCTTCTTACCCGTCTCACAGTAGGGATCGCCATCTTCTAAGTGGAAGACGTTATTGTGGATGGGGTTATGACAGGCCACACACACGAAGCAGGAAGCGTGCCAAGTTTGTTTCAAAGCATTTATTACTTCCTGTGGGGATTAGAAAAAGTGTTACTTACACGTTATTTTGATGTGATGACTAGATTGTGGTGACCATGCCTCCACACTAGTTTCAATATTTTGTTTCCTACTACTACTTTGAAAATGGGTTGTGCACACAATTTCTGCTGATGTTAAACTTAATGAGGTGCTTTATTTATGGTACATGTCCTTTTTCGTCATAAGCAACCTTTCATTTTTTGAAGGTTCAATGTAGAGTTGGACACATTTAACAGCTCATTTGTTCACCTCTTCCAATTTAAATAGGATCTCACCCACAATGGTCCCCTGCAATAAGAAAAGCAGCATCTCCAACATCTCGTCAAGTCTGTGAATAGTTAACCAGAAGACATCACACAAACTTGTGACTGCTCTGTGTTGTTTTGGAAGACACTATAGCGCCAAACACAACTTGAGAGTTGTGCTGCCAGAGCCCTGCGTGACCCCAGTTACACAAGAGCCCAAACACATTGCTGAATGCAGTAAAGCAACGGACGATCAGCTGGCAGACTCAAATTAGCAATATTAGTGCCGAGTAGAATAATGCATCTTTCACTGGGAATATTTCAGTACTTTGCATCCAGCCAACCAGCGTGATACTCACTGCTCAGCTCAGCTAAGAAGGATTATTTATTTTTCTTTTTTCCCCCTTCCAATTCTGTACAAAGCTGCCAATTAAAAGCATTTTGCTCAAGAAAATCTAGTAATCGCAACAGCTACAGAACAACTTCATGAAAACAGGAGCTGAACTTGGAAGAGCCAAGGAGACTACAGCACCTTTTCTCAAAGAAACTGAAGAGGCTCAACATGAGAAGAGCCAAAAACATACTCTCCATGTGATGGGAGTTGAAAAGCTATGTCAGAGTCTATATGGAAGAATGCAAACTGGGTCAGATAAAAGGAATTACATTACAGAGAAGTACTAAACACTGTGGTTACTGTTCCCACTGAAAAATAGGCCATGTGCTGGTTACTTACCCCAAGGATCTTCCTCTGGCACTTTGAACACTCAGGGGCAAAGAACTTCTCATAGCAGCCCTCGCAAAACAGCGCCCCTTTCTCTTCCACAAATCCAATGTAAGCCATGGAGGTTTTGCAATGAGCACAGTTAAACTCCTCTGGATGCCATGACTTCCCCAAAGCCACCAAGAAAGGTCCTCTGATTAGAAAGAAGAGATTTTGTCAGCAAATGCCCCTCGGTTGGCTCCTGCAAAAGCTGTTAATAGGCTTAACCTATGATTCCTCTGTGCCATTACTACACTGTTCACAAACATGTCCTGCTCCATCCCCCTTTCATCCTACAGGCTCCAAGAAACCATCAAGTATCTATTCCCATTGAGTCATCTCCCAGAAACACCTGACCACAATAAATACTAATTCTCTTTGCTTCACTGCTTTGCAGAAATCTTATTTCAGAACTACATTAAATACAGTGCTGAAGTGTCTGCTAGGGAAGAGAAGGAGGAGGATGTTCCCTATGTTCCCAATTATTTGCCTCTATTACACAGAGATATTTGACTCAGACATACAATCAGCTCTCTTTCAGCACGCATTTGTATCAAGGCGACGAATGTTCAAGTAGACTTGACTCCATTAGGAGCTGATAATATTGGTTTCTTGTGAGACAGAAATTCAGTTGCTGTCCTTATCCAACAAGTTTGTTACAGGATAACCCATCCCATTTGTTGGGGATTTTTTTGAGGGGGTGGGGTGAGTGTCTTTTTTTTTTACTTTTCTTTCAGAATCTAAATAAAATAGGACCATTTTTTCCAAATATAGAGCCTCCTCCATTATTTTCAAACACAAAATAATGATGCTTTTAATAGCATTTGTCTGGCTAACGCAACGAAGTTAATAGACAAGATAAACCTGTCCATTTCTCAGTTAACAAAAAATTCTGTTTGTAGCTCATAAATCCCAGGCATATTCCATGGCATGCATATTAATTTGAAAATGTATTCAGAATGCTAATTTCTTTAATGAACATATTTACTTTGATGAGGTGCCTCCAAGGTCTCACCAACACTCAATCTTCCAGAATTTAGGTTTCAGGTGAACTTTGTAGTTCAAATTCATCTCCCTCACCAGATTGCCCATTTTTGCAAGAGCAATAAAGATGCCATTCTTTCAGTAATGCATCATTTTTTTTCTGATTTAATACTTTACTGAAAAAAAAAAGGTCCTAATATCACCACCCTGTTGCTAAACATTTTTTTTTTTAATTGAGTAAGCTACACTAACACTTTTGTGCAAGATAAGATTTTCATATGAACAAAGCAACAGCAATAGAGGAAAAAAAAACCCTTAAAATTTGCTTCCAGGGTTATACTGACTCTAAGATGGGAATATAAGTGGGCAGAGGACAGAAGACAACGTCACTGAGAGTAGAGGGTAATCATTTTCATCTCTCTTCTGTATTTTCTCTGGAGATGGTCTTGATTTTCAACAGGATGAGAAGTCAAAGATAAGGGACTCAAACAGATGTAGGACAAGTCGTGCACCTTCTGAGATGACGAACATATTTAACCTGAAATAGTTTCTTCTGTTCAACTCTAGTTATTAGAGAGAAAGCAGTGAAAATTGGCTCCTGGAGAGCAGCTCGTAGCCCTTTAAGGAGGGAGCCAGGGTCGACTGCAGCTCTTTGGCCCCCGCTCTCAGCGGATGCCTGAGCAGTGCAAACACTGACCTAACCCGATACCCTCCCGCCACTCTACAAGCACCTTTTTACATCAATGCCCTTTCAGTTATGTACTGATCAAACAATACAAGCCCTTATGTACAACAAAGTGCTCTCAGTGTGCCGTGTCAGCACAGGCTAATTTAACAGATTCATTAACACGGGGCTGACACTGAAGAGGCTCTCCTGGCTCCAGGTAGGATTGAGTTTCTGGCCACCTGCACCGAAACGATAGGCTTGGTTAGCTCTGCAATGGAAAAGCAAGTACGCTAGCGTCGGGAGGGGAAGGAACTTTTACAACATCTGCTGCACTTAGCTCTCCAGAGTTTACATCTCTGACATGTTGAGGTTAGCTATTCAGGACAGCGCGCAGGAACCCAGACAGATGGGGAACAGCCCGAGAGTGCATCTACAGAGTTTCTTTCCCAAAGTCCCCAGACAGCTGTGGCCATGCCCTGCACAATGTCTCCGAGGTGTTCCATTAGCGAGCTGACTCCCTGTGCACACGTGTCCAGAAAAACACTTTCTAAATACAATTTTACTTTTAATCAGGTTGTAGTTTAAACATGTCAAGCTGATGCTGCAGCTTAATGATACCAGCAACTTAAAAGCCATCCCAAAGCACATGGAAGAAAGAAAGAAAGGAAAAAAATAAACACTTGTCACGTAAAATACACTAAAAACTGATATTCAGAACTTGGAGGTGTTCCTGGTCTCTCCATATTTTTGTGATCGAAACAACAGCTTCCAGTAATGAAAGGTATTTATTTGCTATATTCATCTGAAATTGAGTTTAAAGCCCAAATTTGAGTAAGCAGGCTGCATGCCCACACTCATGCAACCTGATGGGAAGTATCTAGGACATCTAGTAAGATGGTTGCAGATGGCTTCATCCTTCCTTCCCCATTTAAAAACAAAAATCTGATTTTAAAAAAAAATAAAAGAAATTAAAAAAAAATAAATCACTCATTCCTCTGTCAACTGGAACACGTTTTTAAAGGTGGTGCTAAAAAACCATGTTCCTTCCATCCGAAGATATGGGATGACCCAACCGGCAAGCAGTCGGCTAGCAATGCACCTCTATCCCACGCTACTTTGACATGCTAAACATTTCTGAACAAATTTCTGGCATCACCATCTAGACCATGCAAATCAAACTCACAGATGGAGGCAAATAGTAGTAATTTTTAATTTTTTTAAAAAAAGGGATTCTGATGTATTTACAACAGTATTTACAGAATCTTGCACCCCAAAGGATCACCAGGTACATAAATTTGGTAGTCATATCTGGGTTCTTCATGTAGCAATGATATAGCTCCAAATTGCAAGGAGAAGTAAGTAATGTACAGGGAATATAATTGCAATTTCATTATCTTTACACTTGTAACTAAATATAACTTCATCAGTATGGTCATGATGTATTGGTATGCTGATAATCTAGCTTCTCATGTGGCTTTTATTATGATAGCAAGCCAGAACTGAAATTTGATGGTAGAGAGATCAAAAGGATTCCCACATCTGCTAAGTAGGCCAATCACTTTACAACAGCCTACAGTCTGGGAAGTTTCTTCTTCTCCTCACTTGAAAATGCCATGATATATAATTTCTGCATAGGAGATGCTGAAGTGAGGTACCATTTATACTTTTTCCCTCTTGCCTTTAAAAACAATTAAGCTGTATGAAAAGGTGACAAAGCCAAATCATCATTCACAAGCAGACATGCCAGAGTACATTCTCAATGGAGAGCCAGGGAAAACACATTTGGACTTCAAAGGAAGAGCCAACTCTGCACTGCAGTACTACTTGGTAAGACTGCCTGGGAACCAGAAGTCTTCATCGGGAAATGTCAGAAGTTTGTCAGACCATCACAGCCAGTAGATCATGGGAAATTTAGTATGCCTCCAGCTTTGATTCTTTTAGACATGGAAAGAAAAGCTTACTTAATGAAGGTTTGGAAAAAAAACCTGGAATCTTCAGACAATCACTGTATGAATAATTAAAGGTCTATTAAAATTTATAAGATGTCTCTTAAGAAATGGTTTTGGCTTAACCAGCCATGGTTATTCTACGCCTGAGTGTAAAGTAACCAACTTCACAACGCATTTTGGCTTCAAAATAAATGTACAATGCAGTGTCACTTGATCCTCCTCTTACCTTTTCATAGGTAATGCTATCACTAAGGGCATGAACTGTAATTATGCTGAAACTTGAATTAAAAATACAATTGCAATCTTTCAAATCCATTGTATGCTGTGAAAATGAGGCATATTTGGCATTGCATGTCAACTCATCCTCAAATGAAACAATGCTTGCTTTTAATAGTTGAGGTGGCATTTAACATATGAAGAAATAGAAGGATTTAAATACCACCAGCAAATTACAAAGAAGTTAGTTGTGGGTATCATCTACTATTCATGAAGAGGTGTCACTTACAATAGGTGACAATGGCTTAAGTACTGTCAAGTAGGGCTCTGCAGTTTCTCCTCATGCTTCCACTAAGGAGCAAAGCTCGCTCTGTGGACCAATACATTCCCCTACTTACAGGGTGGTAGCTCATCGCCTTTTCAGTGGTGATCAAAGCAGGAAAGCAGTGAGTAGGAGCAAGTGATTTAAGGGCCGAGAGGAGAGGTTGGCTGCTCAGGAGTCATGAGAGGTTGGCTGCTCAGGAGTCATCTACAAACTATGCTACATGACCCCATTGCATAGAGCACCAGCAAACCCTGCTAAACCACAGGGGCTGTAAAAGGCTTTCTTGCATGAAAGATGCAGCATATAGTGGATTTGCTATGCTCAGTTTTAATTTTAAACTGAAATAATAGTAACAAAAAGGAAAGTGCATGGTTGCTTGCATAGTATTTACTGACACAAATCCAAAGCCCAGGGAACAAAAAGGTCAGAATACCAAGACAGACGAAATGATTATACAGGCCAAACTGTTCAATGAATGAGATAAATCTCATCCCAAAAGCATGTAAGACCTTTTTGATATTCATCTTCCATTTTGCCTTGAAGCAAAAAACTGGATTAGAAAAGATGTGCACCTAATGCTGGGAATTTGTGTAAGTTTTTTTCTATTGCTTCAAGGGGATTCAGATTTTTTTTGTTATTGTTCTTTCCTTGACATATACAATGGAAGCAGGAAAGAATTCTCAAAAATGTCACAGATCAGTTAGCTAAGAGTCCTCTAAACTTAACCCGATGTTAACTGAACTGGTAGTGAACTATCAGAATAGAAATCTAACGGAAGTAAACAAGACCAAGTTATTTGAGTTAGCTCCATCTTCTGATGCAGAATCCAAGCCAGGGCTGCAAAAACCCTGCAAAAGGTGGAAAGGTTGATTTTTATTATACTGAAATTTATACAGTTCATAGAGCTCCTCAACTTTCAGAACTCAGGTTTTCTATTCAAACAAGTCTCTTTAATCATGGTGAAACATAGTGCAGTCCTATTTTGTTCACTGAAAACATGGGACAGATGAATAAAAAAAGAAATATTCCAATGCACTACTTTCCCCTTGTAGTTCTCCTGTAATCCCAGGAGATCTATATTTTAGGGAAGAAATTAAATTCAAGGTAGATGAAAATCAGGATGATTTGTACATTGACAAGAAAAGCGATTACAGTTCCCTAGATGAGACAATCATGACTAGTTGTCAGAAATCACTGACTGAACAATGCAGCCCAGATTCACTTCTTCCTCCATATGAAATTCTGGCTAATGATAGGATATCTAAGGGGCTCAGCAGAATTTAACTCTATCTCATTTGGCAAACTCATGTTTGTGTTGCTTAATCTTTTCTACCCATGTCATACAAGTCAAGGACACTAGCTACCATAATTACCAAAGGCCAGAGAGCCCACCAAAGAGCTTGAAATCTAACATTGCCGTAAATTACTATTAATCCAATCCTATCAATTGTTAAATCTCTATTCCTAGTTTTTCTTATATGGATGAAGCCTGCTATTTTTCTTCTTCTCGATTAGAAATTCTAGTTTATAAATCAACATTTGTGAAAAGTTCATCTTTATAAGACTATACTCTCTGATTGGTTTCCAACTAGCTAATCATCTGTTTTATTGGAATGGATAAGTGAAAACTAACTTGCTTCATTTTCTGTGGTTTTACTTTTGCTCTATGCCACCCAGTCTTCTCATTCTCTGTAAAACAGCTTGTAAGGCTGAGGACTGCTAGCAGTTCACAATGCTTTTTTCTCCATCAGTACTCTCATTCTTGGTTTCTTAGATAAACCATGCATGAAAACAGTGTTCAGCATTATTGAAATGAAGCCTTAAAAAACTTGTGACTAAGGAATCAAAAACCATGCAAGCAAAATAAAGCCCTACTGTCAGGAGAGCCTGCAGGATGAATAGAATCATAGAGTTCTTTAGGTTGGAAAAGACCTTTAACATCATCAAGTCAACTGTTAACCTAGCACCACCAAGTCCACCACTAAACCATGTCCCTAAGTGCCACATCTACAGTCTTTTAAATACCTCCAGGGATGGTGATTCAATCATTTCCCTGGGCAGCCTGTTCCAATTCTTGACAACCCTTTCAGTAAAGAAACTTTTCCTAATATCCAATCTAATCCTGCCCTGGTACAATTTGAAGCCATTTCCTCTCATCCTCTCACTTGTTACTTGGGAAAAGAGACCAACACCCACCCCACTACAACCTCCTTTCAGGTAGTTATAGAGAGCGACAAGGTCTCCCCTCAGCCTCCTCTTTTCCAGGCTAAACAAGCCCTGTTCCCTCGGACAATCCTACAACTAGTGCTCTAGAACCTTCACCAGCTTCCTTGCCCTTCTCTGGACACTCCAGCACCTCAACATCCTTCTTGTAGTGAGGGGCCCAAAACCACACACAGTATTCAAGGTGTGGCCTTACCAGTGCCAAGTACAGGGGCACGATCACTTCCCTACTCTTGCTGGCCATGATATTGCTGATACAGGCCAGGATGCTGTTGGCTACCTGGGCATACTGCCAGCTCATAGTCAGCCAGCTGTCAACCAGCACCCCCATGTCCTTTTCCTCCAGCTGGCTTTCCAGCCTCTCTTCCCTAAGCTTGTAGCACTGCATGGGGTTGTTGTGACCAAAGTGCATGACCCAGTACTTGGCCTTGTTGAGGCTCAAACAATTGGCCTCGGCCCATTGATCCAGCCTGTCCAGATCCCTCTGCAGAGCCTTCCTACCCTCGAGCAGATCAACACTCCCACGCAACTTGGTGTCATCTGCAAACTTACTGAGGGCGCATTCGATCTCCTCATTCAGATCAATAATAAAGATATTAAAGAGAACTGGCCCCAATGCAGAGCCCTGGGGAACACCACTTGTGACTGGCCACCGACTGGATTGAACTCCATTCACCACAACTCTTTGGGCCCAGCTATCCAGCTAGTTTTTTACCCAGCGAAGAGTATACCCAGCAAATAGATACAAACCTGATGACTTGATTACAGTACGCACACATGGGAGTACGTTTTCCTGCTGGAATATGCTCTGCCCTCTGAACCAACGTGTCTTGCTCATTTAGCTGAGGTGCTGTTGCAAATTTTTCACTCGGGGCAGTTGCTCCAGGTGCTTTAATACTGTTTGATGTCCACCCACTGGCAGGAGCTGGGG